TTATGTGGGGCTAGAGGTGTAATTTGTTTGTTCCTGTGTTAATCTAGCCAGAGAACAAGTCATTATTGTCTCGTTGAATAACAGCAGAACTTTGTAAGACATGTTTGGGAGGCTGCCATTGGTTATGCAATCTTTCCAGATCTGTGACCTCGTTCTGCAAGGCCTACAAGGATATTTAAACTTAGAAATATGTGCCGGTGGAACATTAGACAAGTTAGAAACCATATGGTAAGCACCTGCATGATCTGGTCATACTAAAGTTATATTGAAAGAAAGTAGACACACATTTAACCGTAATTTGCAGGCAAGCAGGCAGTTGTTCAAATTCCACAAACATCTGTAATCTATGAATGGAGGTTGACTGACTGCGTAGCTTTGCTCAATTTTGGCCCCTTTAATAAATAAGACACACAGACACAACGTTTAGAAAGTTATGACTGGCTTGATTGAACTGCAGCCATCTTTCTTATCCTTTGCAAATCTTTGGAGGAAATATGACTTATGGACAGGAAATCCTCAACATTTCTCTTCCTAGCCTGGTGGAGTAGAAGCACAACTTTTATTGTTCTTGTTCATCAGAATCCTCAACAATGACTCATATGACTGCAGATGTCAGCATGAATAAGCTGGAATTTGAAAGGAATTGCATAACAACCATTATTGCATCTTTTGGATCGTTTGGTGCACAGATGGTTGCACGATATACATGCATTACATTTGTATATGTAAATAACAATTGTCCCTGTCATAAGACAAAGTGTGCAAATTGCTATTTAGATGAGGATCAAGTTATGTTGAATTACTGTTGCTGTTAGTCAGCCCCTCCTCTGTTTCTCACCTGTTTGGACAAGCCATCATTAAACTATGACTAACGACAGAGTACTGAACAGTATTCAGGGTTGCCGTTATGACTGACATCAACATGAACATAGTCCTGGACGTCTTCCAGTTACACAAACATTTATGAGTCTGCATGGTACTTGCATACCATGCTGTGAATGGATCTGGCCCTTCCTACATCCAGGACATGGTTAAACACGTGCACTTCGCTCTGCATCAGCCAAACAGCTCGCTGCACCCGCACTGCGAGGTGGACCCAAGTTCCCATCAGCAAAAACACGTGGGTTTGCTATCCTGGCTCCAAAATGGTGGAATGAGCTCCCCATTGAAATCAGGACAGCAGAAAGCTTGCACATCTTCCGGCGCAGACTGAAAACTCATCTCTTTAGACTCCACTTTGAGCGATAGAATTACTAACAAAGCACTTATATACTAATAAAGGGCTGGCTTATCTATAGCCAGTTGAGTAGCACTTGACATGTTTGGCTCTATGAAACCTGATGTACTTATATGATTCTGTTTTCTTCAAGGTTGTATCTTCCTGGTCGAATGTACTTATTGTAGGTCGCTTTGGATAAAAGCGTCAGCTAAATGCAATGTAATGTAATGTAATGCACGAATTGGAGTGAGTCTCTTGACAGTTCCTGTAAGTCAATGTGTTCATTACTAAACTAAACAACCAGCAGAGAACAGTGACAGAGTATTGCAGGCAAGAACTGTTAATGAATGTGTTCATGAAGACAATGGCAGCTGGTGCCGAAATATTCTTAGGCCTGTTTGTTCCACACTTTGAGACTACATGCTGGTGTCTGAGGCCCAGCATTTACAAGTTCTTGTTCTAGGCTAAAACGACATAGCAAACTACAATACCTTAACTCTTTTAAATATATTGCTATAAAATGATAACCTCTAAACAAACACATGATGGCTGATTAAGTCCAATTAATATTTGGATGAAAGTGTGTTTTCCTTCTCTGCGACACTGTGGAATTAAAGTACTATTATTACTTAGCATCGTCTATATAAATGAAAGTATGTTGTGCAACTTCTACCAATACATTTATTCAAAATAGAATGTTCGCTCCAGATGGTTATGAGGCATTGTGACGATTTCAGAGCAGCCAGTGTGTTTTCCCACATTCAAAATAGGTGGGAAAAAATGTATGTGTGAAGTATATCTATTCATGAAGGGTTCATATTGATAAGTTATCCTGTTCCACAAAGAAAACATTATGTTTAATTCACTTTTTCTACAGAAGCTGTGCCAACAAGGCCAGGACTTTGATAAGGTAGTGATGTAAAAACGATGCATTTTCAAGGACAAAGTTTTGTTACAGTGTCATCCCCCCCCCGTCTGCAATAACGATGCAGAGACACAGAGTTCACAGATGTGGAAGACCCTGGAACAGTGACCAATCAGAGCGGACTGTACTCTTGCTGGAGGGGGGTTTAAAGAGACAGGCTCTACAACTGAGCGTTAGAGACCGATTAAATTAATCTAAACTGACTAAAATTAAATCATTTAAACATACCTGCATGCCCTAAACCATGAACCTGAAAATGTGCATATTATTTCTCCTTTTAAAGGTGGGGTAGGTAATTTTGGAGAAACCAGCTCGAGTGCGCTAGGATCTGAAAATACACAGCCGGAAAAAATCTGCCACTTCCTTACAGAGCCCCTCCTCCAACACACACGAACGTGCACATGACCAATGAGGGCACGAGATAAGTTTGTGCACTGATGGAAGCATGACAGGCAGGTAGGCCATCCAGTTATTTTAGCCAGGCCGGCTAAAATAATTGGTCGTGCTGGCTTCCACAGATGACATTTTTTTATGGATTTTTTGTCAAAGCACTTAAGATATTCATTGCTATCGGGATGTTAAGAGCATTCCATGGAATATAACAAAAAGTGTACCTCGAGCCAGTTTCTCAAACTTAGCTACCCCACCTTTAACTCATTTTTACTACATTTTACCTTTTTACTACATCTACTAAATAAATGTAGTGGATATTGTCCCCCAACCGACCATAGTAACCCCCACACTGCTCTATTTGCATGTTTGTCTTTCTTTTAGATCTGCTAGGTCAGCTTTACATGTCAATCTGAAAGGGAGAGAAAGAAGGATCCTGTCTTTCTCTCTTACTGTGTGCCTCATTTCCACAGAAGAAGCTCAAAAGGTTTACACATTCATAAACATTATGCTATGTGCGTATATGTTGTGCGTCATGGAAGGAGCCCTCCCCTGGTGGGTTATGTATATGAATGAATGGCTTCTTCACAGGGAACGGCTCCTCCCCAGGAAATCCACGACTATACTTTCCAGAAATAGAGCATGACTTGCTTAAAGTGGAACTAATGCATCAGCGACGGGTTTCCAGCAGGGCTAAAAATGAGAGAGACCGGGGTGTACCTCCTGCTGGCAGGACGACTTATAGCTGGACCTGTTGTCAAAAGATGTGTCTGCATGCGCAAACTGGGACATTAGATTTCCCCACGCTACAATGTTCATGCAGCAAACCTAGATATGCACCTTTACACACAAAGAAAGCACAGAGAGATGTAGGCGTTGTGACGCAAGCATTATGAGTCACTGCCACAAAGCCTGAGCTCTTAAACGCACAACAGTGTCATTGCCTCTCCAACAGGTAGGATGTATTGCTGCTCTCACTCATTCATACTTAAACTGGCCTGAGGTCAGTACACAGAACACTTTAAATCACCAAACCAAAATCTTAGCCAGTAACGCTCTCATGAAATGTTCATAGACAGGGGTGACACTTTTTTCTTTTCCATTTCATAACTCACAGATATAATTATTATTCAAAGGGCTGTTACTATAGCAACACAAACCTGTTAACCCCGCTATATGTCCAGTGTTTCCCCAGAGAAGAAAGGAGGAGCAAAATCCAGAGGGAGGAGAAACAATGCACCAATTTTACTTTCAAAAATATTAGTAGAATGATAATGCCCATGGCTTCCCCTCTACCAACTTCTGCCAGTCACAATTTGTAACTGTTTGTGATGGTTGTAGAATAATTATGAAGTCAAATTAAGATTATGTGTGTACTGTGAAAGGGGCTTCACACACAGGGACATGTCAGGCCCGGTGTGATGAAGAAGAGGACAAACTCCTGCTTCACTACCAAAGTCTTCCACAGGAGGGCGTAGAATCGGCTCAATGCCTGTACTTCAAGAGTGGCCAAGTACATACCAAACTCCTGTTTGTCACATGAGTAAAAAAAAGGCAAACTTGATAGTATGTTGCAGCTCTTTCCAAGGACACAGAGGTCTCATTTGAATAGAGATAAGACTGCAGTCTTGCCTCATACTCCATGGTGAAATACCTTTTTCTCCACAGAGGAAACACAAAGCAGTAAAGTTATACAATTGTGAGCACTGCCAAGGTGCGGTTATGGGGTTTTCTATTCGCGCAATTAGTTCGGAATAAGGTATTAACACTAATGTTTTAGAATAATTGCCTCCTCAAACTGCTTGCAGACTTTTTTAGCACACACTAAAGGAGCCTTGCCTTTCTCTCACACACATACGCTGCACATATGGAAGACAGATGTTTAATAGACAAGGTCAAGGAGTCCATATAGTAATTGTCTGCTTCACTATGTCTCCGTATTGTTCAGATCACCACATCCACATAAATCCAGGAAATTTCCTCTGGAATGGAAACCATGTCCTACTCTTGCACACCGTTTTATGTTTACTTTCTTTCTTCTCCTGTTTTCTCTGTCCCTCCTTCCCTAACACACACTTCTGTTCTGGTCTTGTGGTGCATTCAACCGGTTCAGATTCATCTCCCTCTAAAGAAACAAAAAGTATATATTTAGTCAATCCAAAAAGGTAATCACCCTCTCATTTCTGTATTTGTTTCTGTCTGTTTCTCATTATTTCTGGGTGGATCTGGGGTCGGACTGTATTGAGGGAAAGCGCAGATGATGACCGATGCACAAAGCAACAGAGAGATGATTCAAACATAAGAGGAGGGGATGTTTCTAATCTCATTATCCCTGCCTCAACTAATCCACTAGGAACGACTGCTCTAAGTAATCAATATCCTTTACACATATTGTACCCCACACACTATTGTGAAACACATGTGAACGGTAATATAAGGGGATTTTTAATCAACATTTAAAAAAAGATGTCGGATATGCAGGATACAATGTTGTTGGGCTTGGAGGGAATCAAGAAAACTATTCTGCATGGAGGGACCGGAGAAATTCCAAAATGTATCTCTGGATCAAAGGTATTTTTGACCTTCACTAACTTACATTTCTCGATGAATAAATGTCTTCTAGCTTTGTCATCCATTAAAGAGCTACGTTTAGCTCATCCATTATAGACTAAGTTCTGTACGTTTACTTCAGTACAGAGTCTATTTAGTTTGCAGTCAATTATTCAATTTCTCTGAAACATATTTCAGGAAAATAGCAGCAATGTATGCTCCTATTTTTATGATTAAGTTATTTAGAATTCACTTCACAAAGCTGCTTTTAAATGTGTATCTTAGATATAATAGAAGTGGAGGACCATGCAAAGACAAAAGAGAACAACATTCTTTCTAGACTGTGGTTGCAAAGCACCAAAGAGAATAACCTTCAAATAGAGGCTCTTATCTGTGACTATTATATAGACTTGATATTAAACATGCAATAGAGATGTAAATCTAATCATTTAGCTATGATGGATATCTCTCCATAAAGATCCCCCTTAATATCCATAAGACTTCAAGTGGCATTAAGTAAGAAAAACAAGTCTGAGTTTCAGAGTTTCTTTGTCTGAACCGAGAGAAGTTTCTTCACTTGTGATGGATGCTCAGCGTCTGTCATTTTTGATTATGTTACATGATATTTCATTTAGACATTAGGGCAATGTTTACAATTTGAAAAGCATTATTGTATATCTGCATCTGCCAGTGGAACATCACAAAAACAGTAGACATAATAATATGCTCATTCCACTCCAGGAGTGATTTGAAAAACATGCGCATCCTATATTGGCCTCGGTAATCCACCAAAATGAGTTGGAAAATTGAAAAAGCATATGACATACTGTTAACAGCCTGCTGAAAAGCAAAGCTATTATCAGGTTTGATGATGCATGACTTCATCTGTTAGATTTATGTTTCGATGTTAAGCTATTGCATTGTGAACATGATGAGAGGGGAGGCTCACTCATGAAGTTGCAATTCCCCCTGGTGGCCAGAAGAGGTTAATAAGGACATGTTTCACTCAATGCGGCTTTAATAAGAACACTTTTTTCAGAGCTTATTCAAAACACTTTAAACCATCTGCATCTGGTTTGGTCTTTCCTCAAGAAAGAATGCCTTCACTTGACTGTGACTTATGAAACCATTCTTGAATCTGAAAAAAACCAAATTATACAAATGTGTGGCCTCGCTCACTGTTCAGACCAGCTCACGTTCATGAACTATAGCTTTGTGACTGTGTTGGGGATTTCTTGTTCTTTATTTTACAGCTTTGTTTTGAGAGTGGAAGTTTCCCTATTAAGGAATTTCAAATCATCCTTGGTTAATGAAATTATACATGACCTGTGCTGGTTCTGTATTTTAAGGACACTGTTATTATGAAATACGGGATCAGTTTGGTATTGCTTCACTCTCCTTGGACGTTATAAAACCAGGGAATCTTGGCTTTGTGTCCTACTTTCTGTCCTGTTGAATAACTGAGCTGTGTGTAGAGCTTGTAATTTAAAACCTTTGTTAAGACTTTGAAGGTTTGTTCAGTTCCCTTTTTAACAAACATTGTATTTAATTTTATGGTATTTTTGATCATTGCTCTTCAGGCACTATCTGGTCTTCCTAATAATAGTTTTATCTGTCTTGGGTTATTTAAGAGGTTTTATATATTTAAAGCTGACACAAAGAGCTATGATCCCCACTTTCTCACATTGTTTTAGTTTTAATGAGCGGGCATCATCTCTCTATGTTTCTTTTTACTTCAGGTGACTTTCCACTTCCGCACCCAGTTGTGTGATGATGAGCGGACAGTGATAGATGACAGCAAAGTGGTGGGGACGCCCATGGAGATAGTGATCGGCAACATGTTTAAAATGGACATCTGGGAAACCCTGTTGTCCTCCTTGAGGATCGGAGAGGTGGCCGAATTCTGGTGTGACATCATTGTGAGTGCTTGACATCATGGTTTGTGTTGAAAATTGTTAGCGAGTTCCCTTTTTGCTTGTTTCTAATTGAAGTGCATTATTGTCTGTTAGTGCAAATCACTTCTTAGAAGCTTGACAGTTCACTTTATGTCATAACACTGAGGATGTGGAGGCTATAGACTCTGCAGCAAAACACTGTAGAAGTTGTAGGTGCTATACTTGAATGAATGTGACACCTGAACATTAAGCACATGCCAAACTATCCTCCTGTTCATGATATAGAAAAAGAAACACAGAAGTATTCAGTTTATAAAGCTATCCTCTAAGCAGGGCTAACAGAGAACCGATTTGCTCATAACTGGATCAACAGGTTCCCTGACTAACTACATACAAATAAAATATGTGTTTTATAAAGTATGTGTGTATCAACAACACTGCGTCCTGAACATCTGATTTACTGTCAGTAAAGTTCCCTTTGAATTCCCTGCGTATTTTCTCTGTGAGTAATGTTTTGTCGTCACATTGTTTCTGTGTGGCCTCTCCCTGTTATGAAAGCTGTTTGTCCCATGAAGATGGGAATATATATGAAACAGTGTTGACGTATTAGAATCATAGATCTATGATTTTTATGTTTTGTCTGTGTTTCTGTGTGTGCCCCACACTGTCACAGACAGATGGTTGAGGCACACTTTCATTAATCTGCAGCAGCTTCACTTTTCCCTAATCGGCTCTGATTCTGCTGAATCAGCCCTCCTGACTCACCTCCACTCTGATTAGATTTGAATGAGCTTACAGCATTTATTCACTCCTCTGAACAACATGGCGGCCCCTCACATTCCACAGACTCCTGTATGCAGTATCATTTCTAGCCAGTGGAGGGCAAACGTGCCATTGTGAGTGAGGAAATAGACTGGAGATAATGTTAAACAACTCATTTTATAATATAATGAATCTTTAATCAGTTGAATGTAAATGTAATCCGATTCCCTTTGTAGGGTAAGTGAAGTATGAGTATGTATAAGAATAAGTATGAGATAAAAGAGTACAACACCAATTTCCTTTTTAATAAGACAGAATTCGGAAGAGGCTTGAAAATTAACACCTTAATCCTAATTCAAGTTTACATGTTGATATTTTAATAAAAATGTGATCTCTCTCCTTTCCAGCACACTGGCGTTTATCCACTAGTGTCCAAGAGTATGAGGCGCATTGCAGAAGGCAAAGACCCAGTGGACTGGCAGATCCATACATGTGGTATGGCCAACATGTTCGCCTACCACAGCCTGGGCTACGACGACCTGGATGAGCTGATGAAGGAACCAAAACCCCTCTACTTTGTCCTGGAGCTGCTCAGGGTGAGTAGGAACACAACCTCAATATCTTACCAACAGGTTTGTTATTAACTTGTTTTTAGAAAACATTGGTCCATGGTGCCAAGGGAAGCAGGTTATATACATTTACTGTGAATGTGATTGACAGGTTCAGCAGCCCAGTGAGTACAACAGGGAGACGTGGGCTATGAATGATGAGGAGAGGTTGAAGGTGGTGCCTGTGCTTCACGGTCAAGGGAACAAGCTCTACAAACAGGGGAACTACGACGAGGCCACACAAAAGTACAAGGAGGCCATCATCTGCATCAAGAATGTTCAGACAAAGGTGATTGTTGCAGCCAATTTGATGTATTTTAATATTTGTATATGAAGGTGCTGTGATACTACTGAATTGACCTGGGCAGAGGCGGGGACTCAGCCAATTTCAGGGTACAGCCTACTATTTGGGGAGGACACAGGTGCACAGCATTAGGGATTGGGAATCACCAGAGGGAAGCCGCACAGTTTTTCAACCGTGCGTGTTTTCGCTTATTTTCTGTTTGTTTTGAGTTAATTTCGGTTTATTTCTTTATCACAGTTAGTTGTTTAGTTATCAGTTAAACACCCGGCTCTTGTTTTGCTGTCATCATCCTGCAATCCAAATAAACATCTTAAATGCACTCAAAGAGAAGACCTGATTTGCTGTCAACACCACGCGTCTGGAAAAGCTTCACACCATATCCCTCACTGGCAAATATTTGTTGTTCGGTTGCCTTTACAGTGATCAAACAAGTGGTCTGAAATAACATTAATAATTATATTCTGAAAAACAGTATGTATAGACATGGATCTGATCTTCTTCAGGAGAAAGCATGGGAGGTCTCTTGGCTAAAGCTGGAGAAGATGGCCAACACTATAACGCTCAACTACTGCCAGTGTCTAATGCGCACAGAAGAGTACTACGAGGCCATCGAGCACACCACCGACATCATCAACCAGCACCCAGGTAACACTCAGAGACTTATAGGATGTGTGTGAGGCCAAGATTATGTAAATCAAGCCTGTTGATATGAGTGTGAGACTCAAGCTGTGTTCTATCCTTACAGTTTTTTTTTTAGCTTCAACCTAGCGTGGTATTTTTCCCCCTGAAATCTTGAATGCTAGCTTTAAGTCGATGTGTAATGCGTCTATGACTTTCTGATCCCCTAAAAGATCCTGCCTGTTCTTGAGCATGCACAGTATATCGTGTATGTGTTGATAGAAGCACATGTTTATTTAAGTAAGCCACAAAAGACTAAGTAAAATGATTTACTTGAAAATACTTCACGCCTTGTTAATTGAATGCTACAGAGCTGAAAACGGTAGCTGTCAAACATGCGTTCGTTCTTCTTCTCCAGGTGACATGAAGGCCTTCTTCCTGCGAGGGAAGGCCCACGCAGAAGTGTGGAACGAGGCAGAGGCTCGGCAGGACTTCAGCCGGGTGCTGGACCTGGACCCAGGCATGAAGAAGGTCGTCAAGAGAGAGCTGGCCGTGCTTAATATGCGCATGGAGGAAAAGAACCAGGAGGACAAGAACAAGTACAGAGGCATGTTTTGAGGAGACGCTGCAGCAGAGGTTAGGAGAATCCCAAAAGTGATGGCTGAAGAAAAGGAATCCCCAAGATTGATTGTACCTTTAACAACCACATCTTCTTCACTGCAGTGACTTTCACAAGGTCTGGGAGACACTCAGATGGAATATATAAGGATGAAAGAGCTGCTTCCTTTCTGCCCGTCTTTCTTGGTCATCAAAACTATTAAATTAAACTTTTAAATGGAGGACTTTGCACACTTGTAATCTTACCTAAATTGGTTACATTTCAAGGAAATGTTTGACTGCTTGATTTGGTTGTTTGTATTCAATTATCTCCAATATTTAGCAAGGCATTGAGAGGTACCAAAACACAAAATATGTATTTAGTGATTAAGTAAAAAGCAGCCTTTATCTAACGCTCGGAAAGTGAGCGCATAAGTGTATTTCCCAAAATGTCCAAATCTTCTGTTCTGATTTGTTATATTGTTTTGGATTTTTTCCCGATCATGTATAAAAAAGCATTATTGAATGCTAATAAATTGTACATGCTGGATTTCTATGTTTAAATGTGCTCATGGCATCACCAAAAGTCAAGTCACACTTTGCCACTATTTTACCTAAAAGATATACAATTCCAAAGTAGTTATTCCTTAAGTGTTATCTTTAGTGACTTGTCAAGTAACTACTCAGTCTTGTGAGTTCATTGGCCTTCCACAAGGTGGTGCTCTGACCATGATTATTTGTATGGTTCACTATTGGAGAGATAATCCTGAGCCTTTACGCCGCACTCTGTTTCATGAACAGTCTAGGGGCTCGTAAAAAAAAACAATCTGGGTTGCATCGCTTGTCTCCTTTTCTCTTCCTCTGTACGTTTTCAAGAGAGAAAAAGGAAACACAGAGTGTGATGCAAAAGGACATGACGAATACATCTGGGAAATATACTAAAAAAAACTTTGAATGCACTTTTGTTTTTGCACTGACATAAAATATAGTATTCGATCAATAGTATGACATCGCACAGAGAGCTCAGTTTCATTCAGGGAATCCCCACTCATCACGATCTGCACTGTTCCCCCCCCCACTCATCATGACCACGGGTCACTCAGCACAGCGTAGCAGTCACTCGGGGAAATGAGGCTGACTCTAATGCACCAGTCTAATGATGAAGAAAATCCATAGGAGTGGATCAAAGAAAAAAAAACACACGAAGGATCATGATTAAACATTCAAACTATAGCATCCAGCCCTTTACAAGAACCTTGCTAATGCAGTTCCTGCTGCTGAGTCGTGCCTAATCTTAGGAAGGTAAACAAGGAGGCTAAAACTGTGGTTAGATACAGCACTCATTAGAGACCATAGGCAATTTATCTCCGCTCTGATCCAGTAAAACCTTTTCTTTATCTTCACACTTTAATACCATCAACGCTATTTAGGAAATGGACTTAGATTAAGTAGATTTATGTGATGGGGCTGTGCCATTGGAAACCCTGGCCTGGACTAAAACACAGGCCTACAATCAATTCTGCATAGCAGCACATTCCGCAGTTGGCTTTCCTCCATAAACCACTGGTGCTGATGTTGAGGAGAAGGAAAGAAAGGGAGGAGGCAGGAAGAGGAAGAGGAGGGGGCTCTGTGCCCCTGCTCCAACAGGAGTTGCCTCAAGTTAGCCAGAGAAAGCAAATGTCATACAGGAAGTAAGGCAATCGTGTATTCAAAATAAAATATGTAATGTTAGGATTTGGAAAGGAAAGTAATAAATAATTGTCTTTATTGTATGCTTCTTGGCTCCTTGTTTAGGTCTTACTCCTTGATGAATGCATACTTTATATAGATCCTAATTACTTCATGTACTGCATTTGATTGAAAGACAAATAATACATTATTTCCTGCATTGCTTGAATGTCAAATGTTTTTGCTTGAAGTACCCGGTAGCTTAGATTTATTTGGAAGTAATCTGGCATAGGCCTATCATCAGAAGATTTTCACTGGCAGCCATTCAATTAAGCAGTCTACCAAATGTAACCTTTCACTTGAAACATATTTGCAAAAGCCATACAGGCTAAAGTTATGTTATTTGACATTACTTAAAAAACAACATAGTGTTTCGTCATTTTACCCAATGTGGTTGAAAAGAGAAAATACCCATTCATTTCAGTATTACCCATCCTTGTTTTCCAAAATGGATGTGTTGTGTTTATAATGTTGACAGTTGATAGTAAGGTAACGCAACGCTCCACATCACACCACAAAGCCATTGTGTAGCTACAATATAAATCAACAATATATTATGTTTCCTACACTCTGCAGCCTGCACACCACTTCAAACAGACCAAGTCAAACCAGGCCGGCTAAAACCAATATTAAGCAACACAAAAAGTCATTTGACTTTTCTTGCAGCAAAATAAAACACCACCATAGCAACAACATAGAGGTTAACGATTAAATGACCACAGTACAGCCAGAAAACACACATTCAAGCAAAAGGAGCTGCACAGGTGTAGGCCTACAACTTTTAGTGAAACACACGAGTAAATTTGTTTGTTGTTCTCACCCTAGTCATGTGTATGGGGAAGTCAATCTGCTCAATCTGCTGCAGGATCAACTTCTCTTCTCGTTTAGTAGTCCACATTTTTCAAACTTGTTGAGCGGATCACAGAAGCACAAAGTTCCACACACCTCACTGAAGATGGAAGTTTCTCTGCAAGGATCCGACATTAGCATAACCACCGCACCTAGCATGTTTGGAAGAACAGCGTGCACCTGTGGGTGTGTTTGATTTTGGCCACTTTAGGGTGCTGGCCGGTGTTGTGCAGTTGCTTTTAACACGTGTTTAATTAAGGTAAGTGAGCTAACGTTGCAATCCTCGATGACGTTGTTAACTCGTTATTTCATTGCATTAATATTGTTTTACTTCCAAAAATATATATTAATCGATGTGTGTTAATTATTTTTTCGTTTACTGTATGTTCATGGCTGGTGTTTTATTTTGTGTTTCGTCGCCGGAAGTTATGTGTTTCAGTATGGGTGACTTGACACTGGTTCCAAGTTGAGTACAGTCGCTGTGTTGCTGCGTCGTTGAGACAGAGGAGGAGAGGATAAGAAAGTGGCTTTGAAAGAGACCCTTCACCCCCATCCTTCTGCGTAAAGAAAAGGAAAGAGAGGCGTGTTTCTACTTTTCAAATAACAGACTTAAAGGAAAGTACTGGGACTGGATCAAGGCGGAAAACTCATCTGTCTGAACTGTTCCTCCTTGGATGTATAAGAAGACGGGAGTTGTTCTGATCTGAGCCCCTTCGGAAATGAGCCACACAGTGGATGTGAAGGAAAGTGACGGAAAGTGATTCAAGAGGAAGAATGATATCTGCAGGAATCCCACATCTCCTTTCTGATTTTATTACTTTCTTTTAGCCGGGTTGATACTTAGCACCTTTCAAATTATCTAATTTGCATCCACCCAGCATACCTCAGCTTGTTTAACCTCACTCAAATTAAATATTGCTTCAGCTGTAATGGCATGTGCATCCCAGCTTGTAACTAATTAAACCAGTTTTAAACTCAATTCCCTTTTTTCTGATCTTATTTGATACAATTGACTTTTGAACATGGCCATCAACACGGACACCGACTTCCTGAAGTCCAATTTGGGAGGAGGCACGCAGCCTGCACATCCCCACGAGACTGAGAAACTCCTCGCGCTGACCACCGAGCCCGCGGGACATGGGATGAAGATGTCCACCTCCTTCACCGTCAACATGGACACTGACAAGGGCCAGGAAGCCGACCAGAATGGCCACAGTGTGTCGGTGAGGTCAGGCTCCGCCGGGCAGCTGGGTGCCGCCGCCCCCCTCTCCCCCTCCAAGGCCAGCCTGAGCCGCTCCTCCATCGGGAACGCGACCGTGCAGGAGACCCCGAAGCCCAAGGATTACCTCATCCTCGTTATCTTGTCCTGCTTCTGCCCCGTGTGGCCCGTCAGCATCGTGGCACTGGTGTTCTCCATCATGGTGAGTATCACATTACTAAACTGTCTCTGAAGGAATCTACAACAGAAATTATACAACAGCAAAGTGGAGCAGCAAAGATTAATGTGTGGAATATTAACATCAATATCTCAGTTTATTTAGAACATAAATAATTCTTTATAAAAATAAAAAAAACATGTATTTTCATAAAGTTCAGGGCCTATTCATGTCATTTCTGGGTATTAAGTAAGCTAAAGAAAATGTGAACATATTGTTGATTCTAAAAGTAATCATGGTGTACTGTCTGACATGACAAACAGGGTCTGTTCCAAAACAGGTAGTCTATATTTTACAGATATCAGTTATCTATTGATTGTCTTCTATGATTTCCAAAGCTGCTATTTTGTCTACATTTAATTCAAGACTTGTTAGGAAAGTGACAATGATATTTTGGGCGAAGGTAATATCTCTCTAATATTCAGGGAGATAATGGTCTTTGAAAGGGAATATTCCTTTCAAATTATACCAGCAGATCAAGAAATATTTCAATTAACCTTTTCTGTCATGTTTTAAGCATTTGAGGGGCGGGAAATATTGGGAAAGAAAATAGGGGAATGACAAGCTGTTGGATAAATCACAAAATAATAATATGAAATGGTAAGTGATTCATTTTCATGATTCCAATCCACAGTGGCCTGCGACAGGTCAGGGTTTAAGTGTAAACATGTAATTGTTATCACTTGAGGGTCACGTTTATACAAAAATTAAGAAATACAAAAATAATACAATTATAATTATTTCCAAGCAATTCCACAGAAACTAAATCTGCAGAACAGATCTATTCAGCGCATTGACGTATCTGAATACAATACAATTTCTCCAGGATTGGCATTTTTCATTGAGAGGTCCCTTACAAACTCTTAATGTCATGGTTGACTATATACACACACACACACACACGCACGCACGCACGCACGCACGCACGCACGCACGCACGCACACACCTCCTCAGTGGGTCAAACACATAAAACCGCCTATGGACTGCTTGTCTTCTTCAAATTCACATTGCACGTGTAATTGAGTTTTAAAATCTATGTAGAGGGAACTCCACTGTTGAAACTGAAAGCTGACACTTCTCTGTTTTCACCCTCTGCAGTGGTGAGAGGTCTGCAGTTAAAATGGTGGACTTGTTGTTGAAGGCTGTGAGAGAGTGTAGTTTATTTCAATCAGCCAATTAAATAGTCAGGGAATGCCCCAGTTACCAGAGGGAGATACAGCTGGGCTTAGTTGATTTTTGATGTGTAAAAGTGCAAAAATAGTGTGAAGGTCAAGTGTGACGTGACAAGAAATGTGTAAAAAAACTAGGTGCAACAGAATGAAGAATGGCTATACCTCAATGATGGTGACCCTGACTTCACTTTTCACACATCAATAAAAACTCATCGCTTATGTAGCAATAAGCAATATACCAGTGATATGGCATCAGCGCTAAATACACATTAATAAAAGGTGACACTTTATCTTCCAATAATGCTTGATGCAATGAAACATACTGCTCGAGTAAGCTCCTACAAAAGCTGTTAAAGGCATGGGACAACTGACAATACAAAATGTGAAGGTTTGATTATAACAACTGCAAACAGCTCAATATTTATTTTGATTAGGTAAGTACAGACATAACTTCAAATGAGAAGATCAATCATTTATTATAACATCGCACTGAATGTGTTAGTTTACTGCACACACAAGAGCAGTACACAAACCGATGACATTCTTAAGGATCATTACACAGACACTCAGATAGCGTGACACAGCAAGAATCTCCCTGGGACTGGCAGGTCAGTAATCTGCCACCTTTCAATTTGTTATTTCCTTAATCTTCAGTAAAAGGTCTTAAGCTGACTGACACCACGAAATCCTGGCATCAGGTGCTCATCTACTCGGCCCTGGAACTGTACATCAGGGTAAAATCCCCTGCTGCATCACCCAAAAGCTGTTTGTCTTTTATTAGACGTCTGGTGTGTTTGTGTTTGAATTGTTTACTTAATTTTAAACTGAATGTGTGTTCCCACAAAGTTTTACGCAATGTTTCCTCTATTGTAAAATCTATTTGAAGCACCTAGTATTATTTCACCTGAACAAAGAATTTACACCAAAATGGGAATCTATTGCTAATGGTTAGAGTTGGGTTTTATTTTCAAAACATTTTAAGGTTGAAACTCTTATCCTTCTACATTTACAGTCTTTATGCAATACTTTACTTTCCAAATTCTACTTCATTACAATTGATTTACTGGGGAAATGGATTGAGTTTCTCTAAAACATTAAGGCAGGAGCGCTTTGTTTAACTTTCCATTTTAGTTTTAGACAGAATATTAGAACCAGTTCAGGGTGTCTCTCCATCAATGCAGCTAATGAAGGGAGAGTGGCTCACAGAGGCAGTGTTACATCTGTTAGGGAGTTTCCCAAATCTTGATTGTTGTCATCATGAGACATCTATTGATGAGATTGGAGGGCAACAAAAAGCACAGTGAGGAGTTTAATTGTGCATTCAGTTAGATTTTAAGAACATTATCCTGATTATAAGGGATGAGTCCAGAGTCCACCCTTCTGGTTTTGTAGAACCTAGATGGCCTTGTATTGCTTTTTAAAATCATTCATGCTACCAATTGCAAGCTTTCACATCAACGTAAAAATATTAAAGGCCCTCTCCGTATACGACGTTTGGTTTTTCTGTTCTTGGCTACTGTAGAAACATGGCAGTGCGTCATGGTGTACTACTTCGAAAAAGACCTGCTCACTATGTAAATATAAGGGGCTCAATCTTAGGAAGTGAAAACACGATACTATATATTCCCTGCCAATGGATCCCCCTTAACCATATACAAATACCTTTAAGTAAAATGTTGACAACATTGGACAACTTTATTTTAAATACTCTTCCATCACTGAACCTCTTGTGTGTTTTGAGCCAGGAAACAAGATAAAGATTACTGTAACTGAGCAGTACAGATAAACAATATATTTTACACAGCATGGCATGTGTCATGCAGGGTTTCACCGGTAGTTTTATTCATGGTATCAGATGTTACTCTGTTGTGTCAGGATTTTAACTCATGTTGGCTGATGGCAGATTAGTTTCTATTGGCACAGCAATTTGAGTTTTCAGCGTACTTCACTTCTGACGCTGTACAGCAGCCAGCACTCAGATCCACAGAGAAACAAGGCAAAGACAAAGCAGTAGACCCATTAGTTCTGTAATATCATTCCTGTGGGCACCACACACCAAAGGGAATATCAGGCAGTATCCACGAGACAGCCTGTACTTCCCCAAGCCATCACCATGATCCCACTGACATTCACAAGTCAGCCGCTGGCTAATGGCATGGAGAGTGTGTGAGAGAGAGATGGAGACATAGAGCAAGGCTTTGACAGAGGGCAAAAGGAAGGAAAGTGAAGGAGGGAGAAACTGGAGCTGGCCACTAACTCGATAGAAGGCGAGAGAAGTCTATTTAGTTTCTCTGCAGAGGGCAGATTGCAGCAGTTAGCCAGCTCTGTGGCAGCAATCAACATCATCTCTCTTTCCTGAGGATATGGAAAGGGGATACATGCCTCAAAAGGAGACCAAAACATTTTTACGTACAAGGGCATATGGGTGTGAGTGATACAGCAAATGCCTATAAAGTAGTTCCTATCACTGGATTAGGAAAGAATCGAATCAGATACCACAGATATGTAAGATACAGTAAGTGCAAGTGGGTCAGAGCAGGAAAGCAGAGGTTTTACAACAGGTGCACTGCACGATGAAGACCTAGAGTGCAAGCTCACGACTAAGTGCTTATATCCTCTCACACGTGAAATGGATACTTCTGGAAAGTTGAAGAGAGAAAAAAGGAAACTGCTCAACTGCTGTTAAAATGGGATTAAAATGGGGAGATACAGAATGAGGAAACTGCACACGCACAGACATCAGGAGATTTTAATCAGAACAGAAAGAAAAAAATAATCAATATATTTTTCTTTCTAAGCTGCCATCCATTGAACTGGGATAACGGATGTTTTAATTTAAAGGTGACCTATCATGCAAAATGAACTTTTGTGCGTCTTTTATACATGAATATGTGTCCCCGGTGTTCCAGGGAACTCACCAAGTGTCAGAAAACACAACCCTCTCTATTTTCCTCCATACCCAAATCTCTTAAAAAGGGGCTGCAACAGATCTGATACAGACTGATCCAGATTTGAACACTTCTATGACGTCACAGAAGCGGCGCTACGGCTATTGGGCCAACTCCACCAATCAGGAGGAGACAGCCACGGCATATACGTGAGACAATACTTGAAATACTGATGAAACCGGCATAGGGCGTGGGGATTTTGAAACAACAGGTACACGATAACGGAATTTAATACTAAAGGCAAAGATATAAGGGAGGATCCGGAGGATGAAGCTAGAGGAGCAGGGAGGAGAGAGAAATTAGTATGCGTTAATATCGGGCTATGGGAAAGGAATTTGGGGGTTGGGATTTTGCGTCCCTTTTCGACGAACGCAACCAGGGGGGTAGCCTAGCGCCAATCTGGGGCACAGCGCGTCGGGGTCCGGGAGGGTCGCCGCGATTTCGTCGGTCCGGAAATCTGAGGCAGAACGAATCGTGAACCTAGAGGTAATTAAACGTTGTGAGTACGCCAGTCTACCTACGTTTAGAGAGTTGGGTGCACTCCGTTGAGCCGAGGGCTAAGAAGTTCTCATATGTTACGTAAAAAGTCAACGAGCGACGTCGAGTATTAACTTAAACATATGAATATAGAACCAGTACGACGCTTTTCGTTAAGTTTCTCCGTCGTTCGATTCAATAATCGTCAGGATTTGTGTCCGAAGGTACTTTACCAGTACTGAATAAGGGGTAGAGAGTCGTGTTGGACTGGGGTGGACAGAATTGTATGCTATGGTGGGTGCGCCCAGGTGGTGGAGCGTCGTAGAGGATCAATTGATACAAGACATAAGAAGCAATAGTCGGCAATGTATGCGACAAACGAGTACG